CACAAACTATTGATTGATATGCATATCCCATCTGGTCTCTCAGTCACTGACGAAAGCTAGTGGATACTAGCTGAAACGTCTGACGTTTTCAAAATCATATCCAGTTGCTTGAGTAACTGCTTTTTGGCGTATTCTGGGCAAAAGTTATAGACTTACCTATGAGGGGTTTCATCATCCTGTAGTAGACCCTCCAGACTGTCTCTAGGGACATTCCGCTGTCCAGGTAAATCGCCCCGGCAACGGACTCAAACACGTCTCCGAGCGCTTTCGGCACCTCGATGTCCTCACTCTCCTCCTCCCCTTCATCATTGATGTACGTCTTCAGCTGGACAATTAACAGCATACGCTTAGAGTTAAGACTTTAGATCTAACACAAAGACATTTTCTCACATACATGTAGAGCTTTCGACCAGTCACTGGTCTTCCTCAGTAGACTGACCCAGTGAGCACAGTAGGGGCATCATCACTAAAGCTTTAAACAATGCTTAGACTTAGATGCTCAAGGATTAGGTATAACAAGTCGTAATGTAGCTACAGTACCGTTCGCGTTATAGTTAACCGGGTACCCCGTTACTAACGAGTTAGATTTTCGTCAGAAAATGGTTAGAGAATCGTCAGTATTTGGTTAGATTTTCGTCAGAAAATGGTTAGAAAATCGTCAGAAATTATTTCTAACGCGTTACCGTTTGCGTTAATGTGATAGGGTCGGATTTCATGTTTGTTTTGCGCGCCGACAAGACAATAGCAATTTGCCACCTCCTGGGGCGTCCGCTAATGTGTTGCGATGTTGCCCCTTGAAAAATAACAGCACCAGAGGCAAGTGGACATGTGATTCGTAAAATAACTTTGTGGTTTATCCATGTGTCGACTGTGTGAAGCGAATTGTGCTATCTTTTAATGCTATTCTATAGTTATTTCTAGCGGAAAATTACGTTGTGTAATACAATGTATGTCAACAAAGTGTAGCAGTGGGCAGACGATGTCTTGTACATTTTGTACCAGCGGCGGCCTACCGCTCTCACAGGACGTCATGGGACGTGACGAAGCAAGAAATATCTGCCGTAGAAGAAATATAAATCGGTAACTCATGCCTTAAATTCACGGCGGTTTTTGACACAAAAGAAAAATTATTATAATTTTTGTAAGGCGCGCGGCTTACTAGTACTAGCGGCTTTAATACTCACGGTAAAATGTACCGTCACTCCCGGCGCAAGGACTCGGTTCGCCAGCTGAGGACTTTCCACAACCATGATGATATCATAGTTAATAAAGGAATATATAATAGATCTATCATGTTGAAATGATAATTGTAATACATGGTTCTATTTAATAGCGGTAGTTTGTTCTTATTTTGAGGGGGGAAACTGTCAAAAATCGAGGGAACGCAAACTGAGATCGGCTCACTTCCGGGTGCACAACGCCAAAATTTCTCGACGATTATATAAAATGACCACTCATTTGTAGTGGTATGGTAGTGCGATCATATCGTGCCAAAGTCAGCATCAAACGTCAGAAAATCCCCGTAAAATATAGTTGCAAAACACATTTCCCGCGCACTCAGGGCCGGTCGCCCTGGCCGCGGCCGCCCTGTGTGCAGCATGCTCATTATAATATGCAAGTAGCTACGCTCTGATTGGTTCACCTTAGATGACCTGCGCTGTGATTGGCTAGAACGAAGCCTGTTGCATGCTGGGGCGCCCTTCCCCGCGAAATGCAGAGAGCTGGATCGAGAGAGAGCCACATTTCTACCTTATTTCTACGACTAATTAGCAACATCCTAGTGACGAAATGCGTACTCAAAAGAATTTTCGGGAAAAAAATATATGTACATGTGGATTTGTGGTGCCTTTGGCGTAATTTTGTTGGTCACATACAACGTAATGTAACACGGAAGTGCATGGAGTCGGAGTCGCGGCACGGCTTTCCGTCCCACTCTAAACAAAACTCCAAGGACATAACAAAACTCCCCAAAACTGGTCAATAATTAGCCATAAAAATGTTGGTGGGCACGTGTAAATATGCTGCCTTTTTTCGAGTGTTATAGGAATTTTCCGCGATGTTTTTGCACATCCCTAACGTTACCTCACGCCCGCCGCCTATTATGTACGGCGGAACGGGTTTTTTAACATCAGATCATCTAGGTTTGCTTATTCGGTGGTAAAATAAGTTAACAGAGAAAAACAGCAAAACAAAGTTGATAAACTATAGAAACGCTTGCCTGGGCAACAGTGACAAAAGAAAATGTCTATCTAATTGAATTGCGCCGGTGATCGTAAAACGTTTTAAACGTTACAATATAGTAAAATGCAGGCTAGATCAACGTTCCTTCCGCTGTTCCAGCGGTGTGTATCGGTAATTTCCCGCCCCGCATGAGGTAAATTAGTACTCCTCCCATTATTCTGTGATGTTACCGCGGCCTGCATATGAATGCAAAAGTCTAACGGAAAAGTAACGGAAAACTTACGGAAAACTTACGGAAAAGTAACGGAAAAGAAACGCGTTAGTAACGGCCGTTAGGGTAACTATAACGCGAACGGTACTGTAGCTGCCGCCACGCTGCATGCCTGCGAAGATGGTGTTATGCTGAAGGGCAGTTATACCGGCTATACAGATACAGAAGCTCAGATGTGTTATGCCAAGGGGCAGTTATATACATAAAAGCATTGCAAAAAAAAATCAGGATTTACAGTAAGTCTCTGGAAGCCCAGGTCTGTATCTGTATCTGTATAGCCGGTATAACCGCCCTTCAGCATAACACACCAGCTTCGCAGGCGCGGCGCGGCGGCAGCTAGCTATATCACACCAAACGACTTATTGCACTCGATCTTTGCACATTTGATTGCAGGAGTTGTTTAAAGCTTTCTAGTGATGATGCCCCAACTGTGCTTGGTGGCAACGAATTCCAGTCTACGATAGTTCTGGGGAAATACGAGTTTTTGCATACCTGTGAGTCCATGCCCTGCTCCTCCCCCTGCTCCTGCTGGAACTGCACGAAGTTGCTGATGATGTTGAACAGCTCCGGAGAAACGAACTTCAGGTACTTGTGGTAGTCGTACTTAACGGCCAGCGAAGCGAAGATCGTGTTGTTGACAAGAGCAGAACGGAGATCAGTGAGCGCTCCTAATAATGTAATGTGATGTATAATAATGTTAATTTTTTTATGTTCACCGAAGGAAAACATGTTGTTTTTGCTACGTTTCTTCTTCTCCAAAGTGACCTCTGACCTGACTGAACCAGATTGTCTCTCACTATGGTAACTTGTGTAGAGTTACATGTACATGATGTTGCAATTTTATAGTAGGAGGGATTTAGACTCCTGTCACCAAGTATATGCATGTGTTTGAGTAAGAATTAACGAAACGGACCATATGCTAAGGTAAACTTTATGCATTTGCTTTGCAAATGTTACTAACTTCTAGTTCATTCACTATTTTTTATTCATAGTCATACAGGTTTCCCACTTAGTGATAACACTGCTTTTCAGTGGGGCCTTGTCACTATATGTATTGTACATACAAAAATATACATAAAGCCACGTACAGACAATAAAATTAAGATACAATAAATAATGATAGCGACAATGACAAAAAAAGGAAAAAATGGTTACCGTAACTAACCAATAACAATGTTAAATAATAATAATAATGACAAAAATGTACATTGTAGTACCCTGCGTTGGTGGTGGCATGAAGTAAGCTGATATAACTTGAGTGTGCCGTCACCATGTCTAAGTCATTAAATGTTGGAATGTAAAAAACAAACAAACCTGGTGAGTGCTGCTGGGGGTCCTTGAAGAGGTGGTTGGTGATGAGGTAGTCAAGGACCGCGTCTCCCAGGAACTCCAGTCTCTGGTAGCAGTCGGTGATGGTGTTGTAGTGGTACGAGGGGTGCGTGAAAGCCTGCAACATATTTGGGAAATTTGGCAGAATTTAATCTACATCATCGGTAAACAGCATATGCTAGTCAAACTACTGTCTGTGTGTGTGTGCATGTGTGTGTGTGTCTGTGTGCGTGCGTGTGTGCGTGCGCGCGCGCGTGTGTCTGTGTGTGTGTGCGTGTCTGTGTGTGTGTGTCTGTGTGTGTGTATGTCTGTGTGTGTGTGTGTGTCTGTGTGTGTGTGTGTTGCTGCACATTTGTAGTTACCATTATAACAAGTCTGTGATGGTGTTGTAGTGGTACGAGGGGTGGGGGAAAGCCTGCAACATGGGAAGTTTCGTAGTCTTGAATTTTTGTTTGGGTAGGTTTGCCTCTACATGTACATATAAACATGTACATTCACATTGTATGTGAGTCAATCTACTGTTAGGAGTATACTGGCGATTAGGTTTTAATACTGAACCACATGGGCCAAGGACATTTAACTTTGGGGTGCCTGACTACTCTAAGAAAAGGTATGAGGCTTGATTTGACTTATGATGTGCTCCATGTGCAAGCCACTGTAAACATGCACATTTCTCCTGATTTAGGCCATGTTGATTTGATTATATGGATGACATCCGCGCACGCATGAATTTTCGGCCGTTTCCAAAAAAAAAAGTTTTCAATCATACTGTAAATCGTACAAAACAGTTGCAAAATGAGCAAAAATATACCATAAGTTACAAAAAAAATTAATAAAAACTATACCAATATCGTAGAATGCCAAAATCAAACGAAAAAAGACGAAATTGTAAAGAAATGAACTTGAAGACTAGATTATTCTCCAAACCATATTCTGTGCCATTTGCTCAACCCTCATGACCACGTAGATTTCATAATGAAATAAAACTTTTTTTTTTGCAAAACTTTTTTTTTATTCGCACGCGCGCATCAGTTTTAGGGCTCCCGGAGGATGTCATCCATATAATCAAATTAACATGGCCTTAGGGGAAACAAAACGTGAATGTTACTGCACCCACCTGCAGCATGTATGCCTTGTCGTTGAATCTGTACTGAACCGTTTCCTCGAGCTGCCGGTAGCCTGACAGCATGTGGGCCAGCTTCTCCTGGGCGTGGGACACGTGGTGGAACAACGGCGGCTTGGGCGGCGAGATGTACCCACACTCCTCCGCGCAGCTGACCTACATGAAGGCAACATTTTTTCACGGTAGTTGGAAGTGAGTGTAAATAGTAGTTACAATGAATAGCAAAGTTCTTTGGTCAGAACCATTTATTTTTCACGAGCCGACGTTTCAATGACCGTCTGTCATCTTCATTAGGGCAATTCTGACTGGTTTACTGTGCACTAACGCTAGATGTTACTTGGTGCATAGTGCACTGTGAACTATGTAACACCTTTAGTGCACTATGCACCGAGTAACATCTAGCGTCGGTGCACACAGTCAGAATTGCCCTGATGAAGATGACAGACGGTCATTGAAACGTCTGCTCGTGAAAAATAAATGGTTGTGACTTTGCTAGAACTTTGCTATTCATTTGTTTACCAACCTGATAAAATTATTTACGGAAGTAGTTACAATGTTTGTATTTTACAATGTATGTAAGAGGAATCCTGGAAGATTAGTGGTTGTATTGTCAATAATTGGAGGTTCATTGAATAAACAAACAAACTAGTAAAGCAAAATGCATAATGTTTATCTTCACACATGAATGAATGAATGAAAGGTGTATTCGTGAAAAACACATGGCAGCTACAGGCTGAATTGTGTGTTTTACAACAATGACAGATTTAAAATGCACTTAAAAGTACATACTTGACCTGTATGGTCTGCTCTATAATTCTTACGCAATCACATTTAAATAATATATATAACACTGGTCACTTCAATTTTGGAATGTCACTTTCCGAATTTCGAGACAGCTATGTTGAAATCCCTGATTTTCAACTTTGTTATTCCTGGATGTACAGTGAACTTTTGTATACCATTGGAAAGATCATGCTATCTTCAGTACCAGGTTGCTTTTTTAATGGTCAGAACGTGCAAATTTATCAAGATATTTGACTTTAAAAATTGCAAGCCTGGCGGTCTACAATGTAGAACACACACCATCAGGCTCAGCAGCTGAGCCTGGCAGTCCTAAACTTTAGCCTGCGGCCTGAGTTAGCCGCCCCGCATATAATTATAATATACACCTTCATGAAGGTCTCAAGGTCGCACGCGGTGCTGGGGTTCTGTTCCCAGTCCTCGTAGGACGAGTCCAGCCCGGCAAGGTCGTCGAAAGAGTCAGCATCGGGCTCGGCGAAGTCAAACTGGTCCAAATCATCCGTGGGGTCGGCATTGGTTTTGGGCAAAACCTGAAACATATACATCAGGGCACTTCAACCATCGCTCAACCGGGACGGGGGGCGATAACGACTTCAGACAACCTTTGACCCTTTGCTGACGTCACACGTGGGAAAAATCATGTGTCCACAGCATTTGGGTCAGATAGCTGAGGAAGACTGAGTGATTCAGGTGAGTCAAATTTTGAGTTGGAGAACAGTTTAAGTTTTTCATAAAAACTGAAACAGTAGAGATGGACTTCAGTGTAAACAAAAACTAGCAAGTATACTAGCGAGATTTTTTTAAAGAAATATCAAGACTTAATTTGACCTCATATAAACTGCAATGATACAACTTTTTTTCTGACAAAACAGCAGATGCAAAAGAAAACAGTCAAGCAACTGGATAATTGTAGTCCTGTGTGTTTCATATAATTACTTGGATGTCTTCATGATGTAAAAGAGCAGATCAATCATGATATGATCAAGCATGAAATGTAAAAAAAATTTGGTGGCATATTTTGCTAAAAAAATTACCTTGACTCCAAGCCAACACTTGATTTTGATTCAGTTGCTTGAGCATCTGTTTTCTTGTGTATCTCATTACCTGGATGTCTAACCTTCATTGACATAAAAGTGCAGACATAATGTCATGAAATATAGAAAATTTGGTGGAAGAGTTTTCGTTGGGAAAGGCACTTAACACAACTTTCCTCACTTCACTCAGGTGTAAATGAGTACCTAGCTTTGGCTAGGGATGTCCCTCAGATAGGACGTTAAATGGAGGTCCCTTCTTGGGAGAGCCAGACCCCATTCATGTTAAAGAACCCACTGCACTTATCGAAAAGAGTAGGGGACCTTCCCGGTGTGAGTGGTTCAAACGTTACAGTCTGGTCACAGGTTTGACATCTTGAAGAGGACTGGTGATGCTCACCTGTTATCTCAATCATTCCACAAATGTGGTAAATCTTCATAGAATAAAATAAAAAATACCTGACCCCAAGCCAGCACAGGAAGAGCTGTGCCGCCCGAGGCCCACACATGGTGAGGCAACAGCAACTGGATAGATTTTGATCCAGTTGCTTGAGTATCTATTTTGTTGCGTTGCCTGGATGTCTTTATTTGAGTAAAAGTGTAGATAATTTCATAAAATGAAATGTATTTAGTGGACGAGTTAAGATTTACCTTGACTCCAAGCCAGCACAGGAAGAGCTGTGCGGCCCGAGGCCCGCATGTGGTGAAATAACAGCAACTGGATGGATTTTGATCCAGTTGCTTGAGCATCTGTTTTCTTGTGCATCTCATTACCTGGATGTCTATTCTTTATTGACGTAAAAGTGCAGACTGATAATGTCATGAAATATACAAAATTTGGTGGAAGTTTTCCTTGGGAAAGGCACTTAACATGACTTTCCTCACTTCACTCAGGTGTAAATGAGTACCTAGCTTTGGCTAGGGACGTCCCTCCGATAGGACGTTAAATGGAGGTCCCTTGTTGGGAGAGCCACACCCCACGCATGTTAAAGAACCCACTGCACTTATCGAAAAGAGTAGGGGACCTTCCCGGTGTGAGTGGTTCAAACGTTACAGTCTGGTCACAGGTTTGACATCTTGAAGAGGACAGTTGATGCTCACCTGTTATCTCAATCATTCCACAAATGTGGTAAATCTTCATAGAATAAAATAAAAAATACCTTGACTCCAAGCGAGCAGAGGAAGAGCTGTGCCGCCCGAGGCCCGCATGTGGTGAAATAACAGCAACTGGATGGGATCCAGTTGCTTGAGTATCTATTTTCTTGCGTTACCTGGATGTCTTCATTTACGTAAAAGTGTAGATAATTTCATAAAATGAAATCTAAAAAAAAAAGATTTACCTTGACTCCAAGCCAGCACAGAAAGAGCTGTGCGGCCCGAGGCCCACACGTGGTGAGGTAACACCCCAACAACGCCTCGACGCAGTCCGCGATGCTCTTGTCGGCGATGCAGTGCTCCATGTGCAGGTCGTAGGACAGCAGCCGCTTCATGGCGTCTCCGTTCACCAGCACCGACGCCCTCAGAGGGGCCACGACGTTGTTGTTGTAACCGGCCACGACTTGGGCGATCGGGTTTCTTGAGGTAGTCATGCCGTTTCCACCCGGCGGCTCCACTTCCAGGCAGGAGTCCTTAAAAAATGAATGAATGCGTTGATGAATACATAATGAATATAATAATTATAATAGTGACGAGTCTTTGTCATGTTCAACATGTTTTTCCAGGGTCGGTTGGGTTTAGGGTCGGTTTAGAAACAGGAAACACAACATTTTTTTTTCTAGGCCTCACTGAATGATAGCATATGATGTGTTTATACAATATAGAAATTTTCTAGCTCTCACCATAACATGTTCCGCAAATTCTCTTATCACTTATCTTCTCGTCATGAAATAGTTGGTGCTTTTGCCTGATGGGTCGATTGACATATGCAGAATCAGATTTTAAAGTTTTTAATACAGATGTGTGTCAGGTCCTCTACTACTTCGTTATATGTGTGTGTGTGTCTGTGTGTGTTGTATGTGTATATGTGTATATATATATATGTGTGTGTGTGTGTGTGTGTGTGTGTGTGTGTGTGTGTGTGTATGTGTATATGTGTATATATATATACCTTAGTGTTGGAAACTGTGTCCTCTTGGTCTTCCCGGTTGTTCTGAATGCAGAATCCGGGCGGCAGCCAGTTTACGGCCGGGTCGAAGATGGACGCGACCATGCGCGAGGCCAGCCCCTTCCGCTTGCCCAGGCGGTACAGATTCAGGTTGGAGACCTATAATAATAGAAAGTTTATGATTTGACTAATTTGATTTGATTTATTGGATACAATACATGTGGAGCACAGGCAGCTTTCGCTGGTGTTGTGCCCCACACATAAAACAAAACATTACAACCACATACAAAATATAACTAATACAATAACAATATAACAATATTGCAAGCTTAGCATGAAAGTTCATCTGTGTTGGTATATATTAACATTATGATAACAGTTAACCTTTACATAACCAACACCAAGTAAATTGGGACATTACATGTAACATGAAAATAAAGATTGGACGACAGAATGGGTAACAAAATAGTATGTGACTACTCTAACTACTAAACACTAATTTCTAACTTATTGGGTTTGACTTCCTTTTCCGAGACAGTGGAAGACGAATGATCCCACTTTTTCTATATTGTGTGTTCTGTATATTACCTAGAGTTCCACTATGTAAAGATTATTCCTCCTGTTTATGCAAATAGGATCCTCATTTGCATGAATTATATCAGTTGATCAGACCTCGTGCACGCGTGAGTAGGTGCAGTACAAGTACGTCGTGATCGCGTGCTTCAGGAAGGGACAAACAAACAAACAAACAAACCTGTCTGCTGCGCATGTAGGAGAGCTTGCCCTCATGCACGCGTGAGTAGGTGCAGTACAGGTACGTCGTGATGGCGTGCTTCAGGAACGGACAAACAAACAAACAAACAAACAAACGAACCTGTCTGCTGCGCATGTAGGAGAGCTTGCCCTCGTGCACGCGTGAGTAGGTGCAGTACAGGTACGTCGTGATCGCGTGCTTCAGGAACGAGTCCCCGATCGTCTCCAGTCGCTCCAAGTTGAAGAAGTCGCCGGCGTTGGACAGTGTGAGCGCCTAGAGGATGTAGTGGCAAGGTATTGAACATTATAGAACAAGAGGCATTAAAAACAGTCTTTTATTTCCAGATACTATACGGTACAATAATAGGAAACAGACAACTACTGTCTGGACTTATACTTCTATTTCTACGCTTGCTATTATGAGGTCCGATAAGATCTAGGTTGAAGAAGTTGCCGGCATTGGACAGGGTGAGTGCCTGGAGGCAGGAAAATACATGAAAAAAACCAATGATAATCTTTGTCTATTTGTATGTCTAGGTGTAACTGGTGTGCCAGTTTGACATTTACAATTTTTTTTTCAAAAGTTTCCAAAGTGATGGAGACAAAGTCTAAATGCATGATGTTTACCTTCACATGGCCTAGCCTAACAAAGTACTGCTCCTTTTATACTCAAACCCATTCATGCATACAATATACATAATGAATACATATTATACACACACACACACACACACACACACACACGTATGGTGAACAGCCCTCCAAGTCTGTTGTGCCACTTGCTACATAATGTACATTGTAATGATCCAACACCACACCACAGGATGTCTGCTACAGCACCAGTTACCATGGTGACACAGTAGTGGCAAGATATGTTTTAAGATTTTTTACAGGTTGTGTGTGAATAAACCATTCTCTCATTGATATTCTCTCCAACTCTGCGATACCTTACATGACAAACTTGCTGAACAAAACACTTAAACTGACAATCTGTAAACACCGATGTGACCTCATGAATTGTATTATATATAGAAGACTATACAATTTTTATCACACTTATGTTCATTGATTTTAAACCGAATTTGATTGATTGTCTATTTTTAACTCCTTAGTGTTTTTAATTTATTTCATTGTTAATGCCTGTCAATTCAGACTTACTGTCTGCAAGAAGGTGTGTGAATAAAGTTTCAAAGTTTCAAATATATACCTGAAGAATGAGGCTGGGGGAGGGACCCGGGTGGGCGTCCAGGTCCAGGTCAAGCATAGGCTCCAGAAATGATGAGGTAGATTCAGGGATGCTGCTGTTGAGAAGAAGAAAAACTTCATTGAACAACAATGGACCTATACCATTATTACGTCACAGTTTGTTTACCTGTTCTACAGAACATTCTAGAACGGTCAGTTAAAGAATAAAGATCATTTCAAAGTTTTCAAAGTAAGGTATGTCTGATTTTTGATGCGTCTTGTGTTGACACAGCATTACATGCCGCATGGGTGACTTAGTTGTGACGTTAGTCGAAAGTAGTACCGTATTAAAAGCCTTATATTAGGCTAACGCTACACAAACACACACCGCGCTACGCACCCCTGTACAATATAAACGTTGATTGACCAACATTCATTGCGGTAAACAAACTGTGACGTAATAATGGTATAGGTCCATTGCACATGGTACAATGTGTGGCAAAGTACAATATAACAAACAAGTAAAATATGTGTTGAATAAGACCTAATGTAGAATATAACATACATGTATCCTAATTACTCAAACAATAAGGGCTAGCACACCTCTTTGTTAAAGTGTTACAATCGAGTGGGGCTAATTACGAGTTTCGGTATTTCTTCTAATACTGTAACAAAGCAGTCTTTTGTAGGACAGACAACTCCTGTTCTGTATAACAGGCGCTTCCTGACTAATTTGCATTATCTTGTCTTGACTTGTCTGACTTTTGTTCCTTTTTCGACTTCCAAAAATTTGTCTTCACTTTATTTGCATATCCATCAATAGTTTGTGCTCATAAACCTGCATTTCCCCTCTGGTCTCTCAGTCACTGACGAAAGCTAGTGGATACTAGCTGAAACGTCTGACGTTTTCAAAATCATATCCAGTTGCTTGAGTAACTGCTTTTTGGTGCAGTCTTTTGTGTATTTACCTATTTTTGAGATCAGGCATGTTGTTGCTGGACACGTTGGGACTACTCCTGACGCCCTCCCCACTGATACCGTTGCCTGAGGTAGCATTGTTGCCTGGGCCGACGCTTCTGCTGTCCGGCTTCACTTTTCTCTCGTGTGCCGGTCGCCCCATCTTATGTCCGCCTTCCTCTGGCGTTATCTGCCCATTACTCATACCTGTAACATTGTTATTAATTGATTTTTTTTTATTCATTTTCACACAAACACTGACATAGAGCCTGCCTAAACTCTAATACATAAAGTAAAAGTAATACATGTATCTATAAACAGAATTTTGATGTTAAGGCCACACCAATTTGATTTGTTGCTTCTCGGATCGCCCTGTCCATTTTTTTCTGATTTGCCCCCCCCCAAATTTTTTTTTTGGGGGGGGGGGTCTAAATGAACAGCAAAATGCTCAATGAAAGACATATATTGGCCCCAAGGGTTGAAAAAAGTCCTTTTCTTCCTAGTTCTTAAGTTTTTCAATGTAACAATGCAATTTTGTTTCATTAAAAGTTCAAAATATATTGTTTTAATTATAAACCAGCCTGGTATGTTCACTTCATGGCTCATATTGTAAGATTTCCGGCTATCATGGGGTGCCTTGGCCTGTTTTTTTTCCGCCCTGCCGCTCCTGATTTTTTTTTAAATCCGAGAAGCAACAAATTAAATTGGTGTGGCCTAATTATCAATAATAATAATAATTGATGCTAAATGTGCATTTTACTCTCAAAAAGCAAGAAAATAATGATTCAGTAGTTCATGTACTTGTGTCAGTTAGCCTCTGTACTCTTGAAGAAGCCACACAGGCAAAACTGATGTGACAGGCTGAATAAAAATTCAAAACAGGAACTATGTGCCTACAGATGTCTTACTGAGGGACGACTGTGTGTGCGAGATGTCAGTCAGCTTGAGGAATGAATCTCCTCTACTAGATTTACTTTTAAGTTGACAACCCTTTTGACTATCTACCATTATGATTTGATATCTGAACGATTATAATTACTTCTATGTTACCTTATTCCATTTGATAGTTGATGAGTTAGTTACAATTTCATCTTGTTCGCGATAAGTTTATCTATTTTTAGTTGACCTTTGTTAGTTCATCTTTAATCTTTTGTTATGATTATATTTATAATGTTATATAATTTTATTAATAATATATAATTATATTTATAATGTCATGTACTTTTGTTGGGGTTATCCCCCCAGGAATCTTTGAAAACCGCCAATAGGCGACATACATGTATTTCCTGGTTAAATAAAAATAAACATAAACAAACAAACATAAACATATAAAACAAACAAACCTGTCTTAGAGAGTCTGTCGTTGCCGGCATCACCAGGAACCACGAGGATGGGGAAGTCATCTTCTTCGTCGTTGTCTAGTAGACTCGCCTTTGACAGATCCAGTTCGCTCAGGTCCAGCCTGTGGAATAAATGAATGAGCTAGTTACCATGGTGACAGACATCTGGTTCAGGTCACTGACCTTATTTGTTGGAGAAGAAGAGGAAGAAGAGAGCAAAAGAGAGCAAAAATAATGTTTTCTTTTTCAAGACACTAACAAATTTTAAAGAAAAACGTCATAATACAGAAACAGTACAGAGTCGAATCAGAGTCAAAGGGCGGTTATACCGGATATACAGATGTGGATACAGATACGGATAAAGAGTCAGACCTGTTTGTGTGGTTGTTCACTTTTTTGAATGAATGAATGAATGAAAAACATCACTAGAAATGTAAGCAAATGGATAATGTTTATACCTTCACAATTGGTCTAGCCTAACTAAACACTGCTCTGTTTATTGTTACTTGAACACACATACATTATATATAATATATGGTGAGCTGCCCCTCCAGCTCTGTCCTGCTACAAAATGTAATCCAACACCACAGTGTGTCTGCTACAATGCTGGTTACCATGGTGACAGACATCTAGTCCAGGTCACTGACCTTATTTGTCTTGAGAGAAGAATAAGAAACAGATCACAGTACAGAGTCGAATCAGAGTCAAAGGGCGGTTATACCGGACATACAGATGTGGATACAGATACGGATAAAGAGTCAGACCTGTTTGTGTGGTTGTTCACTTTTTTGGCACCGTTGTGTTGTCCCTGTTGTCTCTTGTTGCCTAGTGACGCGGCCGGCACGAGCGGCGTGTCCAGGAGCATCACGTTGTCCTGGAACGCCCGCCACTCCTCCTCTGATATGTCCCACCTGGGGGGAATATGGATATACATTTGAATATGGATATTCATTTTACCATGAGATTGCAACATTATGTAACCCAACACCAGTTACTATGGTGACAGACGTCAACAAAAGAAGCCATTGGCCAGGTCAGAGGTTAGTGTTTGGAACAGAAGAAGCAGAAATGTACAACTCGTTCCTCCACTGCACACTGTACAATAGCCAAATGCTGACCTAGTGTTCTAGTGTTTCATGTCCCACTTTTGTATGTAATTGCCTTGTGCGTCTCTTGTACTTATGTAAAGTCCACACAATTCAGGAGTACTACGTACCCCTGCTATGTTGACTGTTCTTAATAAAATTGAAAAATTGAATTGAAAAATTGAAATGGGGGAAAAACAAAAAAAAAAAGTGTCCCACCTGTCCCCAAAGTCGTCCTCCATCTCCTCCTCCTCCTCCTCATCGTCCACATCGTCAGGGTTCCAGGCCGAGATCTCGAACCACGGAGACTCCTCCTTCTGCTGCTCCGGGGACGCTCGGCTCTTCTCCGGCCGGGCGGGAGGCTCAAACACCACCTCCTCACCTGCAAACAGACAAGACAGGACTCAAAATACATCTCAGTTCAGATTGAATAGAAGAAGAAGACGAAGGTCTCCCGTGCTCTTATACTGAGCGTAGGGTGGTGCCCATCTCCATTTCCGTAGCCCTTGGGCGAGACACAGTTGTGCAGGACACTGCAACAGGGGGCTAGTCCGCTGAATCGTAGGGTGGTGACCATCATTTCCGTAGCCCTTGGGCGACACACAATTGTGTAAGGCACTACAGCAGGGGGCTAGTCCACTGGTAGTGCTGTGTGTTTGACCTTCCCACACTCTTTTTCATATGTGCTGAGTGCTAAGCAGAAAAAAAAATGTGTACCATTTTTAAAAGTCTTTGGTATGACCCGGCCGGGATTTGAACTCACGACCTCCCGGTTACAAAGTGAGCACTCTACCAATTGAGCTATTGCACCGGCAAAGATTGAATAGCAAAGTTCTTTTTATCACAACCATTTATTTTTCAAGAGCCGACGTTTCGATGACCGTCTGTCATCTTCATCAGGGCAATTCTGACTGGTTTACTGTGCACTGACACTAGATGTTACTGACACTAGATGTTACCTAGTGCACAGTAAACCCTGATGAAGATGACAGACGGTCATCGAAATGTTGGCTCTTGAAAAATAAATGGTTGAGAACTTTGCTATTCAGTCGTTTACCAACCTGATGAAATTATTTACGGAAAATGTGCAGATGTTGTCACATTGGCATAGTGTGTTTTTGGCACACATTTTGACAGATTAGCCAAAGAGGCTTGGTGGACATCACTCCACCGCACAGGGAGGGGAAGGTAGTGTAAAGTGCCTTTCCCAAGGGCACAACATCGGGGCATGGTGAGTAGTGATGCATACCTAAACCCAATTTTAGGTTCAGGTCCGGATTCAAGTCCAGAGGTTTAGGTTCAGTTCCGGATTTGTAAGTCCGGACCTAAACCCATACAAAATTGCATGTTGGCAACCTTGCAATGTTGTCTGGGTGAAACTTTGGCCACATAACATAGAGGCTGGTAGTTGACGATGCCCGATGGCAATGTTTTCTTCATTTTGCAGCAGAGATTTTACAATCTACGGAAGGTTTTAGGTGGTTTGGAAAGAAAAGGGGTATGTGAAATCGTCTTTTATGGTAATAAGTCCGGACTCGGTTCTTGACTTTTAGGTTTTTTGGACTCGAACCTAAACATTCTTACAAGTCCGGATCCAAGTCCAGTGAACCGGTATGCATCACTAATGGTGAGTATTGAACCCGGCAGCTATTGGCTCCAACTCCAACGCTCTAACTGTTGCGCCAGCGATGCCACGCAAAAAGAGGGTAAACAAGATAAATACAGGGGAATGTGGAGAAAACTTGATTTCTTGCTCTTTTCCAGTCTTTCATGAGGCTCGCATGGCTCAAACACCAAGTTAAAGGTGCACACCCCAGTTCTTCTGTGACAGGGGTCCGCGATGGTGCACCTACAGAAACAGCACAGCTCCAAATTTGGGTGCACTATACTAAGGTGCACATGCGCCCAGTATTTCCAGCCCTGCTCACCTTTCTTGAGGTGTGGGAACTCGAGTCGCGGGTGCGTGTACCCCTCCGGCAGGACGGCCTGCCCGATGCCTGTTCACAGACAGACAGACAGACAGACGGACTAACACTACTGAAAACATAACCTTCTCGGTGAAGGTAAATACACGTCCGCACCTTTCTTGAGGTGTGGGAACTCGAGTCGCGGGTGCGTGTACCCCTCCAGCAGGACGGCCTGCCCGATGCCTGTTCACAGACAGACAGACAGACAGACGGACTAACACTACTGAAAACATAACCTTCTCGGTGAAGGTAAATACACGTCCGCACCTTTCTTGAGGTGTGGGAACTCGAGTCGCGGGTGCGTGTACCCCTCTGGCAGGACGGCCTGCCCGATTCCTGTTCACAGACAGACAGACAGACAGACGGACTAACACTACCGAAAACATAACCTTCTCGGTGAAGGTAAAAACACGTCCTCACCTTTCTTGAGGTGTGGGAACTCGAGTCGCGGGTGCGTGTACCCCTCTGCCCGATTCCTGTTCACAGACAGACAAGACAGACAGACGGACTAACACTACTGAAAACATAACCTTCTCGGTGAAGGTAAAAACACGTCCGCACCTTTCTTGAGGTGTGGGAACTCGAGTCGCGTGTGCGTGTAGCCCTCTGGCAGGACCCCCTGCCCTATTCCTGTTCACAGACTGACGGACAGACTAACACTACTGAAAACATAACCTTCTCGGTTTGTTTGTTTGTTTGTTTGTTTGAAGGTAAAGGTAAAAACACGTCCTCACCTTTCTTGAGGTGTGGGAACTCGAGTCGCGGGTGCGTGTACCCCTCTGGCAGGACGGCCTGACCGATGCCGGCCTCCTGGGCGATCTGCACCCGCAGTTCCTCGGCGATCAGCAAGGTGGTAACTCTGTACAGCACGCTGGGCAGGCAGACGGCTTTGCGCCACAGGGAGGCCGGGACGGGGTGGATCTCACACAGCTCAGGCACCAGGATCTGCTTGCTCTGTAGAGGAAACAAAGAGGAAAATGAAGTACACTGCAATAAGCAACAAATAAAATGAAAATACATGTCTGTAGCACTACATATAATTCGTCGAATCTTTTTTTAAAAATACTGTATCAGTGTATGATAAATGTGATTGTACTGTAAATGCCTGTTTCTGTACCTGTATGTAATTTTCTGCAGGAGCCCTGAAAGATTAGCCCCTTAAGAAGCTAAAGGGCATCCCAATAATCTGAAGCTGAACTGAAACTTGCTCCAGTAGAGAAAGCAGTAAGCCTGTCTTTGGAAGTGACTGGTGATGGGTTACATAATGTTGCTATTTCATGGTCTGCTCTGCTCCGATCCTGTCACCATATGTAGTAAAATGTATATGAATGTGTTTGAGTAAGAATTAACAGAGCAGACCACGTCTGAAGGTAAACATTATGCATTTGCTTTGCAAATGTTACTTCTCTAGTTACCTGTAAGTTTTCCCTTTTGGCCTTCCTGGTCTCTGCGCTGCTGGTTGGCAGAGCCTTGCCCTTCTGGTTGAGGTGGCGCGGGGTGAGCAGGTTTAACCGGGAAGACGTGTGGTCCACGTCCAGCAGGGGCTGGCCCAGGTTGGTGATGGCCTCGCCGTAACGCTTCAGGTAGTACCTACATAATAAATAATAATTGTTTATTGCAAATTCTTGCCCGAGGACTAATTGCAGGAACAGAAGAAACATGGTATAAAAACAGATAATTAGTACATATAGAACTACTGATAACTACTAAGAAACTACTGGTAAAAACTACTGGGTTGACTTCTTTTTTGAAGACAGAGGAAGACAAAGGATCCCACTTTTTCTGTAATATGTGGATTTTCGGATGTTAAGAGGAGAGAAGTTTTCTTTTCATATGTGTGAAAGTTTGGGTAGAATTTGGAGGCTACGTCAAAGAGTTCATTTCGTTCATTGCTATAGAGGGTACAATTTGATATAAAATGCGTAATAAATAATAACCAATAAACTGGCACACATACCAACTACTAAGTACATGTACCTGTAGGAAATCAAGCTGCAAGATTTTGTATCAACAACTATGAAAGAGGTGCTAGTGTCACGGAAATGAAAAGAAACCTACAGTGGGTGTCGCTGGAAGACAGAAGAAAAATGGTCAGACTATGCATTATGTACAAAATGACTTATAAACTGGTGGACGTCCCAACTACTAAGTACCTAATACCAGCCCAGAAGAGAATACGAGATAGCCATGCCTTCAAGTACCAGAGTTATCAACCAAGGATTGAGGTGTTCAAAAATTCATTCTTCCTAGAACTATCGCGGAGTGGAACTTACTGTCACTAAGTACAGTAGGGGCGTTGTCAGTAGATAGCTTTAAACAATGTGATAAAATAGAATAAAAAAATGAAATAAAGACTGAACTTTAACTTCCAACACTAGATATAGAATTGGGACTTACCCCAAATTTTCGGTTGACTCCATCAACCTTGTTCACGGAATGGACCCGTGTACTCTTGGAACGTGACGTCAGAGACACGTGACCGTAGTAGCGGGTCATACGTGCCAGATAACTTGTGTCGCCCCCGTCTCTGTTCAGGGTAGGTCTGTGAGCTCTTATGTAGACTGCCTCCTTAACTCCTGAACAGAGACGGGGGCGACACAAGTTATCTGGCACGTATGACCCGCTACTACGGTCACCTGTCTCTGACGTCACGTTCCAAGAGTAGACGGGTCCATTCCGTGAACAAGGTTGATGGAGTCAACCGAAAATTTGGGGTAAGTCCCAATTCTATATCTAGTGTTGGAAGTTAAAGTTCAGTCTTTATTTCATAGTGATTTGTACCAACACAGATGAACTTTCATGCTAAGAATAAAAAAAGGTAGTACTCGTCGAAGGTGGCGTAGTCAGCGGACGGGAACTCGCTTCGTGGGTTCAGGGAGTAGCATATCTCAGCAACGTAGAACCTCTGCGGCTGATCTGCATTCCTGAGGGAAGGGTAGGGTATCAATCAATCAATCAATCAATCAATCAATCAATCAATCAATCAATCAATCAATCAATATGAATGGTTTATTCATTTTGCGAATATAAACTCGTCGCAGCCTTTAGCTGAATTGTGAGTTCATGTACATATACAAATTGCACAGGTTGACATAAACAATCAAGGTGACAATACATATTAAAAAGATGAAATACATAATTAAAAGTCGTAATGCATATCAATCAATCAATCAAAAATGGTTTATTTGTGAAAACAAAACAAGACCTTGTAGCCATAGGCTAAATTGTGTCTTGATGTACAATTTGATTTGACATACATTGACACATTATTAAAAAATTGCTAAATTATTCAATAATAAATGCATGTCATTTTACATGTTAATACCTAAAAATAACAGTTTCAATTTCAACATTAAAAACTAATAATTACAGACATATATGAAATACTAACACAATAACATACAAAGTAATTAAAAAAATAAGACTAGAGGACAGACTAACCACCCTAGAAGTACGATACACATTATTTAGAGGAATTGTTCAATATGCGAACCAGGTATGGTACTGAAGAGTTCTTATCGTCAAACAACGTCATCAGAAACTGTGCGCGTGCGAAGCTGGTTTTACACCAAAGGGTGGTTATACCGGCCAGACATTTGTGCCGATGCAGAAAGAAAATTTGTAACTTATAAGATTTGCAAAAGAAAATCCCTGTTCACCTTCACACAGTCTTGCCTACTAAACTAATGCTCTGTTCATTCTTACAGAAACACTTTGAATTCATATTGATGGTGACCAGCCCATCTAACTCCGTCCTGCCACTTGCTACATAATGTAATCCACTACCAAAGGGTTTCTGCTACAGCACCAGTCACCATGGTGACACTTGTCCAGGTCAATGCCCTTATTTGTTTGGAATGAAGGAGAGGAAGAATACAAGGAAGGAACACAATATGTTTTCATTCTGCAAACTTAAAAGTACACGTAAACATAAAAAAACATGATACTGTCTTGTCAGCATATTCAGAGTCTGTTAAGGTGACTGTCCTCCCTGGCTAATTTGGCATTTTAGCTTTCCATCGTTTTCTCACAAAGAAATTTAGAAAGAACTGTAGTTGTACTGAATATTGATACCTGGGTACAAAAGAGTTATGAATATGATTTTATGGACCATATGGATGACGTCATCACATTTTATTGCCCCAAATGTGATTATCTTTAAAGTTATAATATAGCACTTTGGTACAAGTAACTGAAATAAAAGTATGATTTTCATGTGCATAATGGTCAAAGCTACAAACGTACGTTTGTACAAATGGATATCTACTAATTACCCGTAGTTATTAGAGAATAACTAGATTTTAATTAGGCAATTAGGTTATTCTCTAATAACTACGGATAATTAGTAGATATCCATTTGTGCAAACGTACGTTTGTAGCTTTGACCATTATGCACCTTAAGCTGTATCACTACCCAAAACCAAACTTTCTTTCTTTACACAACTTGTCACGAGCTTCCTTCTTACCTGTAGGAGGGTGTGACTACAGCATCGATGAAGTCAGATTCTTGGAACTTGAATGGATTGTTGTGGGAGTACTTCGGCTTCTCCTTGTCCAGCGATTGGTCGATATGCTCCAGGAAATTGAAGTCTATGAACAGCTGGTCCACATTGTCAGCCAGAACACCTTTTAAACAGAAAGTGTGTATACAAAGGGAGGATAAAAAAAAAAACATTCAGAAAGCACTACATGTAACATCTGTGTCCATAATATCAGCAGGGTCCATAATATCGCCACCTTGAGAAACAGCGTGCTAAGATATTTTTACTCCAACATACTTTTGGTATGCACTCCTTCACACCTCAAATGTACATACCTAGGGTATGTAGCAGTAAAAATATCTTTAAGCACACTTTTTCTCAAGGTGGCGATATTATGGACCCTGGTGATATTATGGACAAAGATGTTATACAAAGGCAGGTTTACTAAAGCTTGAGCTACTAGTCTTTGTTTCCAAATAGAGAATGGAAAAAGTAGTCTACCAACGCAACAAGTTTAAAAGGAACTACATGTATAGAAGGTAACATTTGGAAAGCAAATACATAATATTAATATTTACCATTACATGGTCTAGTCTAACAAACTATTGCTCTGTTTATTCTTGTTGAAACACATGGTGACCAGTCCTCTGACTCTGTCCTCAGGCTGCTACTTTCTACATAATGTAACCCAACACCAACACCACAGGGTGTCTGCTACAGCACCAGTTACCAAGGCAACAGCTGTAGAGCAGGTCATGAAGGTTAATGAATGTTAGCAGGTCAAATTAGTCAAGTTTGTTGTTTCAGAACAGGAGCTTAAGACTTAGTGTTGTCTGTTCTCATTTTGTAATGTGTTTGTTTGTGTGTCTGTATACGTTTTGTAATGTTAATTTTGTATTTGTCCTTACCGGTACTACACAATTGTAAAAAATCAGTGTTATTCAGCTTGTTTGTGCACTAGCTGCAAAGCTGATTTTTATGAATAAAACTTGAAACTTCCACCCAAAAATTTTAATTAGAATACCTTTGTTGAGGGGTACGACGAAGTACCACGACTGGAGGTCAGTGGGGACGTAGTGTAGCGGCTTCTTCTCCAGCCGCAGAACGTGGGAGAACACGTAGCCATGGAAGTTCTGCACCAGACGCAGCTGGTTCTGGTCCACGTGGATCCCACTGGCACACAGACGCAGCGAGATGGACACCTCACCAGACCGGGTGTACACCGGGAAACACGGGATCTGTCGGGGAACAAGAGAGGCTGGTGAGGCAAAAGTGTTCACATGAATGTAAAGTTAAACTTCCATCCCGGTTCCTTTTCAGTCCCGGCAGACCCTGTCGAAAGCTTGGAAATGCTTTGGTTAAAGTGAAGTGAAGTAGAGTAGTGCCGTAGCACTTCTCGAAAAGCAGCACGTGGGAGAACACGTAGCCGTGGAAGTTCTGCACCAGACGCAGCTGGTTCTGGTCCACGTGGATCCCACTGGTGCACAGACGCAGCGAGATGGACACCTCACCGGATCGGGTGTACACCGGGAAACACGGGATCTGTCGGGGAATAAGAACATCATGGTAATGAGATACACAGCCTAACAAATTACAGCTCTGTTCTGTTCTGGTTCCGGTGCACATGAATCCCGCTCGCACACAGACTCAGTGAGATGGACACTTCACCTGACCGGGTGTACACCGGGAAACACGGGATCTGTTGTGGAACAAGAGAGGCTGGTGAGGCAAAAGTCTTCTCAAATTGTCATTAACAAACTGCAGTCCAAAAACTTTTAATACACACAAATTTAAAGTTAAACTTCCATCCCGGTTCCTATTCAGTCCCGGCAGACCCTGTCGAAAGCTTGGAAATGCTTTGGTTAAAGTGAAGTGAATAGGTGGAACCGCAGCACGTGGGAGAACACGTAGCCGTGGAAGTTCTGCACCAGACGCAGCTGGTTCCGGTCCAGGTGGATCCCACTGGCGCACAGACGCAGCGAGATGGACACCTCACCTGACCGGGTGTACACCGGGAAACACGGGATCTGTGGGGAATAAGAACATCATGGTAATGACATACACAGCCTAACAAATTACAGCTCTGTTCTGTTCTGGTTCCGGTGCACATGAATCCCACTCGCACACAGACGCAGCGAGATGCGGACCGGACCGGGTGTACACCGGGAAACACGGGATCTGTCGGGGGACAAGAGAGGCTGGTGAGGCAAAAGTGTTCTCAAATTGTCATTAACAAACTGCAGTCCAAAAACTGTTAATACACACGAATTTAAAGTTAAACTTCCATCCCGGGTTCCTATTCAGTCCCAGCATGCAGACCCTGTCGAAAGCTTGGAAATGCTTTGGTTAAAGTGAAGTGAATAGGTGGAACCGCAGAACGTGGGAGAACACGTAGCCATGGAAGTTCTGCACCAGACGCAGCTGGTTCTGGTCCACGTGGATCCCACTGGCGCACAGATGCAGGGAGATGGACACCTCACCGGACTAGGTGTACACCGGGAAACACGGGATCTGTTGGGGAACAAGAACACCGTGGTAATGAGATACACAGCCTAACAAATTACAGCTCTGTTCTGTTCTGGTGCACATGGATCCCACTGGCGCACAGACGCAGCGAGATGGACACCTCACCGGACCGGGTGTACACCGGGAAACACGGGATCTGTCGGGGAATAAGAACATCGTGGTAATGACATACACAGCCTACCAAATTACAGCTCTGTTCTGTTCTGGTTCCGGTGCACATGAATCCCACTGGCGCACAGACGCAGCGAGATGGACACCTCACCGGACCGAGTGTACACCGGGAAACACGGGATCTGGTGGAGAAACCAAGGACATCGCAGAGATTGGTGAGGAAAAACTGTTCTCCGAACATTGGTCATGCAGTCCAAACCTTCCACCCCGGTCCCCAGGCAGTCAAAAGTGTGCCATAGCCCTTTGGCAGTAGGGGCAGTAGGTTGTTGATCCACTGTGTCTAGGACACGGTATTGGAAGGTGGAGCCCATCCCTCTCCTTCCACCACCCTCTCCTTAATTAAGAAGGTGGTAGAAACAGAAAAACTAAACCTAAACTAAAACTGAAGAAAAACTAAAACATTCAAAACTATACTAGCAGCAAAATGTGAGGAACGTGTTTGGAGGTGAGCAGGCCAAAGCAGCGGGTGGTGGCCTATGAGTAGAGTAGAATCATTTCTCAGCTGTCAGACATCTTTTGCATGGTTCCCATTTTATAAAACCTTTCTTCACTCAGACCAGCCTCTTCAATGGTACGTGAAGCTCTAACAGCAGAATTAAACCCACCTGTGGAACGTGTTTGGAGGTGAGCAGTCCAAAGCAGCGGGTGGTTGCCTCGGGAGGGTGCAGCTTGCGCCCGCGGATGTTCAGCTCTTCGGGAAGCGGCTCGGTGAGGACCATGTCAATGATGTAGAGGTAGCAGGAGGCTCCCGGCACAGGCAGGCTCTGTTGGAAGGCCTTGGGGATCTGTGGAGAACAAAAATAGAAAATAACTAGAAAAGTAACATTTGCAAAGCAAACGCATATTGTTTACATATTGCCTGCTGTTAATTCTTACTCGAACACATTCATATACATGTATATGGTCAGACAGGAGTCTACATCCCTCCTGCTATAAAATTGCAACATGATGTAACCCAACACCAGTTACCATGGTGACAGACGGTCTGGTTCAGGTCACTGACCAAGTCAGAGGTCAGTGTATGGAACGGAAGAAGAAACAGAGCCAAAAAACTACAGACGGGATATTAACCTGATATATGCTATCACGACCTTATATGAGATGTTCTGCCGAAGTGCTATGCACAATACATTATGGGTTTTGCACAGGCGCAGTACGTTCTGCCGATGCGCTTAAGATACGGTACCTGTTTCTTGTAGACCTGGTGGCGCTTGGTGGTCCCCAGTCTGGTGACTTTCCATAGTGCTTCTACATTGTACAGAGGCAGCATTTCCGACCACATTAAAGGAAGGCGGGAGCCTTCCACAGTACTAGTGGAGCAAGTGTATTACAACTTACTGTAAAACCGACAGAGCTAAGTCCATCGCCACTTGAGCCCAGTGTGGCGGAGGCGAAGTCCATCTCCCAGTTCAAAGCAGAGCTGGGTCGGGCTTCGCTGCATTGAGCTGCCTCCCTGTCCTTGTACATATGTACCGGTGGTAAATATGTGTAATACTAGCACCATTGATTTCAATGGTCCTGTCCTTGCACTTGTCCACGTCCATCCCTACCCTACCCTTTGTTTGCACACAGTCACTAATCTGCTAATAATCCTCTTCTTAGATGGATGAGCAGTACCGAAGATAATGATGATGAAGATACGGTACCTGTTTCTTGTAGACCTGGTGGCGCTTGGTGGTCCCCGGTCTGGCATGTCCGTCGCTGTCCTCCACCTCAAACTCTTCCTCCTCCTCCTCGTAGTGGATCACCTCTTTCCCCACCGGCAGCAGGTTATCGTCCAGCTCACCTGGGCAACACAAAAACATCATGAAAGTTCATCTGTGTTGGTAGTAATCATAGTAAAACGTTAAACTTTATTCCAACACACAATTGTACAGGGATCAAATTTTCAGCGACCACTGTCGCCTTCATCAGGATAATTAATGACCAATCACTTCACAACGTGATCTCGCGAGAGTTACGGTTTACAAACACGTGACCTTATTCACACGAGACTTTACTGACACGTGACGTAAGCAATTGTGTGAATAAGATGCCAAAATCAAACGAAAAAACACGAAATTGTAAAGAAATGAATTCGAAGAGTAGATTATTGGCCAAACCGTATTCTGTGCCATTTGTTCAACCTTCATGACCACGTACATTTCGTAATGAAAACAACTTTTTTCTTGCAAAACTTTTTTTTATTCGCACGCGCGCATCAGTTTTGGGGTTCCCAGAGGATGTCATCCATATAATCAAATCAACATGGCCTAACTTACCAGCCTGGTGCAGTAGCTGACATGCCTTGAGAGCCACAGCCTTCTCGGCCAGCCTGCGTGTCGGCATGGCGGGCCCTCGGATGGGGTCCCTCAGGGAGGAGTTGATGGGGAGGTAGAGCGTCGCCACGTACTTGGTGCCGTCCGCGCCGCTCGCGCTGTCCACCCGAGACTTCGGCGTCAGGTGGGTGAACACGTCACTGGGCAGCTTCGAGCAGTATCTGTTTGGAAATTTAAAAAAAGTATTTAGTCTGGGAGAGGTACCAAATACACACAGGTGTTCTAAAGGTGCTTCCTTCATCAGACGTCAGAGAAAGTTGCTTTGCTTACTGACCTGTTGACCAGCCCTATGGCAGAAGTCATAGTGACCCTGGGGCTGCCTAATACTGCTACTACTTCTGCTGCTACCATAAGCAGCTAACTGACCTGTTAACCAGCCCAATGGATGCTTGAGTATGCTAAAGCTTATGCTTCATCAGACATCAGAGAAAGGAGCTTTGCTTACTGACCTGTTGACCAACCCAATGGCTGACATCAGAGACTACTGCTACTACAGTACTAGCATATTTACCTGTTGACCAGCCCGATGGCTGAAGTCATGGTGACCCTGGGGCCGCCGTCCACCTGACGAGGCATGTAGGGTGGGACCATGTCATCACACAGATGTTCCCAGATCTTCTCATGTAAGGAGGGACCAGCTAGTACTACTACTACTACTACAGTACTACCATGAGATGACTAACCTGTTGACCAGCCCGATGGCAGAAGTCATGGTGACCCTGGGGCCGCCGTCCACCTGACGAGGCATGTAGGGTGGGACCATGTCATCACACAGGTGTTCTACAGGTGCTACTTTCATCAGACATCAGAGAAAGGAGCTTAGTTTACTGACCTGTTGACTAGCCCGATGGCTGAAGTCATGGTGACCCTGGGGCCGCCGTCCACCTGACGAGGCATGTAGGGTGGGACCATGTCATCACACAGGTGTTCCCAGATCTCCTCCTCATGTAAGGAGGGACCAGCTAGTACTACTACTACTACAGTACTACCATGAGATGACTGACCTGTTGACCAGCCCGATGGCTGAAGTCATGGTGACCCTGGGGCCGCCGTCGACCTGACGAGGCATGTAGGGTGGGACCATGTCGTCACACAGGTGTTCCCAGATCTCTTCCTCCTGAGGCATCTCGTGCTCAGCCCACTTCTGACGCAGGATCTGACGCAGGTTGAGAGCAGACAATTCATTACCTTCGCTAGAGGGTTATGTTTTCCATAGTTTTTTTTGGTGTGTGTGTGTGTTTATACGAAGCTGGTGTGTTACGCCGAAGGGCAGCTATACCAGCTATACTGATACAGATGTGTCTGTGTGTGCGTGTTTGTGTCTGGTGCGTGTGAGTGTGCGTGTGTGTGTGGTTCAGCACAATAACTCAAGAAGCTATAGATGGATTGTCGTGAAACTTGGTAGGTGGGTGGGTGGATGAGATGGATAGATTGATTAGACTTTGGGCTGCCTGGCAGCTTGTAATGGTACTACAGCTGTGATATTGTGATCTGGACTTGGTGTTGGATTTTAGATGGTAGATACATGTAGCTCCTGTGCTAGGTTCTATAAAATATTTCCTATTGAACATAGATGTACACATTGTTAAACAGTCAAAAATTTTAGATTTAGCTATTGGTTATTATTTTATAATGTGGAGTTACAATCTATTACAATCTAAGTAGGATTCACAAAAGATACAGAAAATAGAGACTAATTTTTGGGATCCACATTTAGCACACATGTACATATACCGGTAGTAGCTATTCTTCCTGTGGTCGATTCTAACACACATTGTACACATTTGATCAGGGCACTATGCACTGGAAAGGTATATAAGTGAGAACTTCATGTTACTTGTGTCATTTAGCCTCTGTACACTTGAAGAAGCCACACAGGCGAAACCGGTCGTGTGACAGGCTGAATAAAAGTTCTAAACGGGAACTATGCGGCTCCAGATGTCTTACTGATCGAGGGACGACTGCGTGTGCAAGATGTCGGTTAGCTGAGGAATGAATCCCCTCGAATGCACCTAACACACATTGTACACATTGTTAAAGAATTACAGATGTGCACCTTCTCTATTCCCTTGAACTGCACCAGGTCTTCCTTGAATGCGTCCAGCTCGTGTTGCTGCACCAGCATTACGTAGTGCGAACCCTGTGCCCGCGCACGTCCCTTCGACTGCACGTACGAACGGTAGTCCCTCGGCAGGTCGAACCTTATTTCATAACAAAAAAAAAAGTTAGTTACTGTAGTTACTGTAGCTATTGGCTGAATTGCGTGTTTCTGTACACAAGGTGATTTTAGAAAGAATTTATTATAATACACTACTTATTATAGTAACTATTACATACCGAGACACATTAAACAATTAAAAATTAATGATGATTCGTAAAAACAGGCCAGTCAGGTTTGAAAGTTCATCTGTGTTGGTACAAGACTTAGTCATTATGAAATAAAGATTAAGCTTTATTTCCAACACTGGAATGAATTGGGACCCGCCCCAAATTTTGACCCCTTCAACCTTGGGTAGATGGGTCCTTTCCGTGAACAAGGTTGAAGGAGTCAGAAGGGGTCAAAATTTGGGGCAGGTCCCAATTCCCAACTACTAAGTACCTAATACCAGCCCAGAAGAGAACAAGAAATAGCCATGCATTCAAGTACCAGAGTTATCAACCAAGGATTGAGGTGTTCAAGAATTCATTCTTTCCTAGAACTATCGCAGAGTGGAACTCACTGTCACCAAGTACAGTAGGGGCACTGTCAATAGATAGCTTTAAACAATGTCTAGAGCTAGAAGTTCAAGGGTTAGGTGTAACAAGTTGATCGATGTAATATAGCCAGCTGCCGCCGCGCCGCGTGCCTGCGAAGCTGGTGTGTTACGCCGAAAGGCGGTTATACTGGCTATACAAATACAGATACAGAATTCATTCCAGTGTTGGAAGGAAATTTTAGTCTTTCTTCCATCAGGTATTGACAAAATTTTGACGCACCTCACGACCAGGTTGCACTTGCCGGCACGTCCAGGCCAAATTTTGAAACTCATAACCCACCGAGACACTATTTCTCACTTAATGAGGGACAGACTTTGTGAAGTTATTTTGAGTTATTTTTCTTGAGTTGGAGAACAGTTTAATTTTCATCAGGGCTCGAAATTCATTTTTGGGAATAGGTGCACTGGTGCACCCAACCTAAAAAAATGAAATATTAAGTAGAATGTTAGCAAAAACTAATTATGTTTCATTTCTAGAGAAAAGTACTACAACAGTAATTTTATTCTATTCTATTTTATTCTTAGAATAGAATATGCAGCGTACTAACTATACATTTAACATCTTTACGTGCGAAAACCTTTGAAAATATTTGGGTGCACTGGACAGTTGCACCCACAGAAAAAAATTGGGTACACAGCTCCAAATTTGGGTGCACCCAGTATTTCCAGCCCTGAGGCCAGTCAGGTATTTGACAAAGTTTCCACAAAGTTGTGGCGTCGTGTGGTGTAGTGGTACATCACTGGACTATGAAACGGGGAGACCCGGGTTCGATTCCGGGTCATACCCGAACAAGTCCGAACATGCGCCCCGACGTTGTACCCTTGGGAAAGGTACTTTACACGACTTTCCTCACTTCACTCAGGTGTAATTGAGTACCTAGCTTCAGCTAGGGACGTCCCTCGGATAGGACGTTAAATGGAGGTGCAGTGTTTGGGAGAGCCACACCCCACGCACGTTAAAGAACCGACCACACTTATCGAAAAGAGTAGGGGACCTTCCCGGTGTGAGTGGTTCAAACCTTACAGTCTGGTCTCGGGGTTGACATCTTTGAAGAGGTGATAGTCACCTGTTATGTCAATCCTTCCACAAATGTGGTAAATTGTCATAAAATAAAGTTTCCACGCACCTCACGACCAGGTTGCACTTGGGCACATCCACTCCCTCTTCCACCACGCTGGTGCCGATGAGGAGGTTGTTCTCATGCATGCGGAAGCGGCGGAGGATCTCCTCCTGGCGCCGAAACGCCATCTCCGTCTCCCGGCTCCGCATCCCGCGCGAGCTCAGCCCGTGGCCCGTGATGCAGCTGCTTGAGATATAGGACAGGTCCGCGTCGCTCTTCGCAAATTCCTGACAGGAAAATAAGTTGGAAGTTACAAGACGTTACTGCTAACTAAGCCGTCCCAGACAGTATTTATGCACGGAAGTTGGGAGCTCAGGCCGTGGCCCGTGAAGCAGCTGCTCGAGATGTAGGACTGGTCAGCGTCGCTCTTCGCAAATTCCTGTCAAATTTGCAGAAAAAAAACAGGAGATAGAAGTTGGTTTTGAACACTTTTTTGTAATTCTGAGCCCGTGGCCCGTGATGCAGCTGATTGAGATGTAGGCCAGGTCCGCGTCGCTCTTCGCAAATTCCTGTCAAGAAAATAAGTCGGAAGTTACAATTATGGCAAAGTTCTTTAGTTACAACCACTTGTTCAACAAGAGTTGAGTCCATTTTCGACCACTGTCTGTTATCTTCATCGGGGCAACTATGATTTGTTTGCTGTGCCCTGAAGCTAGACGTTGCAGATAACAGTGCCATCCCAAAAATAAATTATTTACGGATGTTGAAAGCTAGTTTTGAACAGTTCTTTTTGGAAGTTCTGATCCCGTGGCTTCTGGAGACATAGGCAACATCAGGGTCACTCTCGATAAATTTCTAATGTCTGAAAGTACATGCTTAAGCCCTTCAAAGTTTCATTGTAGTCAGGAGGTAAAAAAGATTCAATAACTTCCTATGGTATCTTACATATCTTGAAGAGGACATATGAAAATGATATTTTCTTAATTTAATTCATGCTCTGACCCTGGCTTCTATGTGCCTGAAAAACAGGTCAACAACCTGAGTGTGTCTACTGGTGAAGTAAGTAAAATGAAAATGACTTATTCACCTGTAAGAGCTTGTTGAGCACCACAGCGGTGTATCTGCGCTCCACGAACACGATCCCACACAACTGGAATGAGGTATTTGGGTCCTGATTATCGAGGTTGTCCCGCCGACGGGAGCTGTGGTAGTGGTTCTTGCTATTCATATTGCTCACACTCTTTGAGGAGTTCTGAGGAGATGAGGAGAGAGAGAATGGTTTATTACCTCCATGAAAAATGGAGGTATTGTATTTGGCGCGTCGGTGTGTGGTGCAATTCTGACTGGTTCACATTGCACTGCAGCACAGGTGTCGCTGCTGTAGAAGCATTCCCAAACGTACAATATTTACATATCTAAACACATGGACCCAGACATGTCCGGACTTGCACCCAGACGTTGTGCCCTTGGGAAAGGCACTTAACACACATTTCCCCCCTCAGTTAGAGGGATCCTGGGCCCTAGTAGGGTTTGGGTTGGTGTTAGGAAGAGCATCCAGCCGTAAAAATCTTGCTTCAAAAAAAAAAGACTTGTACCTGGTGCAAGCACGTCTAAGTAACTTGAGTTGCTTGAGTAACTGTTTTTTGGCACGTCTAACCCCTGGTTGGGGCAAAATGATGTTAAATTTGGTTTAAAAAAAACAACAAAAAAACATATACATAGTCCACTGTATAGCATACATTGTGGTGAGGTCCATTACGGGGGGCGCCGTTGTTGTTCGTCCCCTTGTGGTGGAAGCCGCCCCCGCCCCGGGGCCCGTTTCTGGATGCTTCCGGGACCGCCGGGCCGTTAACGCTACTCTCCCCGTTGTCTGATTGCACTTCGTTGGGTTTGCATTCCCGCAGCACCTGCAATCAATCAATCAATCAATCAATCAATCAATCAAACTGGTGGACGTCCCAACTACTGAGTATCTAATACCAGACCTGGACAAGAATGATGCCTTCAAGTACCAGAGTTATCAACCAAGGATTGAGGTGTTCAAAAATTTATTCTTTCCTAGAACTATCGCAGTCAATCAATCAATCAATCAATCAATCAATCAATCAATCAATCAACCAATCAATCAATCAACCAATCAATCATTCGACATCCCTTCATTTCCACCATTTTTTTTCCACCAACGGATTGCATTTCGTTTGGATAGTCATGGTACAAGATTTATGATTTTGTCAATCAATCAATCAATCAATCAACCAATCAATCAATCAATCAATCAATCAAATGGTTTATTTTACAAAAACAAACAAGAACTTGTGGCCATTGGCCAAATCATGTCTTGTAGCACAATCTAGGTTTCTAACATTTATGGCAGAACAAGTTTGATTCAATTTGATATATTAATCAACCTGGCCGAAGTACAAGGTACAAAATAACCACTATATTGTACTGGTGCTCTATATTAACATCTTATTAGAGGATGCTACCTGAAACGTCTGACCGTTTCCAAAATCATATCCAGTTGCTTGAGTAACTGTTCTCTTGGCATAACTTATTACCTTGATGTCTAACCTTCACCGACGTGTTGTACTGCCTAATGACTAATAAACTGGTGGACGTCCTAACTACTAAGTACCTAATACCAGCCCAGAAGAGAACAAGAAATAGCCATGCCTTCAAGTACCAGTGAGAGTTATCAAGGATTGAGGTGTTCAAGAATTCATTCTTTCCTAGAACTATCGCAGAGTAGAACTCACTGTCAACAAGTATAGTAGGGGCATTGTCAATAGATATCTTTAAACAATGTCTAGAGCTAGAAGTTCAAGGGTTAGGTGTAACAAGTCGATCGGTGTAATATGGCCAGCTGCCGCCGCGCCGCGTGCCTGCGAAGCTGGTGTGTTATGCCGAAAGGCGGTTATACCGACTATACAGATACAGATACAGGTACTGTGATAGCTGAGTTGTTTCTTACCTCCAGCAGACGCCGGACTTTGGGAGTGACGTACCGGACGTCGACGTCCTCCGAGTCTTTGAAGGCCTCGTCGCACAGCAGGTGGACGTGGTGCATAACAGTGTGCACCCAGCGCAGGAACAACTGGTGCTGCTCACTCCACTCATGCCTGAAACAAAGCAAAGGAACCAGGGTTACCGCAAAGGGCGGTTATAGCAGCTATACACAGATACAGAAGCTGGTGTGTTACGCCGAAGGGCGGTTATACCGGCTATACAGATACAGAAGCTGGTGTGTTAAGCCGAAGGGCGGTTATACCTGCTATACAGATACAGAAGCTGGTGTGTTACGCCGAAGGGCGGTTATACCGGCCATACAGATACAGAAGCTGGTGTGTTACGCCGAAGGGCGGTTATACCGGCTATACAGATACAGAAGCTGGTGTGTTATGCCGAAGGGCAGTTATACCAGCTATACAGATACAGAAGCTGGTGTGTTACACCAAAGGGCGGTTATATCGGCTATACTGATACAGAAGCTGGTGTGTTACGCCGAAGGGCAGTTATACCAGCTATACAGATACAGAAGCTGGTGTGTTACGCCAAAGGGCGGTTATATCGGCTATACTGATACAGAAGCTGGTGTGTTAGCCGAAGGGCGGTTATACCGGCTATACAGATACAGAAGCTGGTGTGTTACGCCGAAGGGCGGTTATACCGACTATACAGATACAGAAGCTGGTGTGTTACGCCAAAGGGCGGTTATATCGGCTATACTGATACAGAAGCTGGTGTGTTAGCCGAAGGGCGGTTATACCGGCTATACAGATACAGAAGCTGGTGTGTTACGCCGAAGGGCGGTTATACCGACTATACAGATACAGAAGCTGGTGTGTTACACAGAAGGGCGGTTATACCGACTATACAGATACAGAAGCTGGTGTGTTACACAGAAGGGCGGTTATACCAGCTATACAGATAGAGAAGCTGGCATGTTGTGCCAAAGGGTGCATACTAGCTATTCACATACAGATAATGTTTAAAAAATGTACAGATTTGAGATATTTTGTCCACTCATGCATATTTCACAAAGTACGTACTTGATGAGCTTCTCCAGCTCGCGGTTGATGAGGATGGCAGCCCGGCGAGTGGCCCAGGTTCCCAGCACCTCCAGGATGGCCCGGCACTCCTGTATCGCCTGCTTCGGCACCTGGCATGTACAGATACATGTAAACAATCGTGTTTAAATTATGAAGAAGTTAAACTGTTCTCCAACTCAAAATTTGACTCACCGGAATTTTGGACTGAATCACTCAGTCTTCCTCAGCTATCAGACAACCTTTGACCCTTTGCTGACGTCACACGTGGGAAAAATCACGTGTCCACAGCATTTGGGTCAGATAGCTGAGGAAGACTGAGTGATTCAGTCCAAAATTCCGGTGAGTCAAATTTTGAGTTGGAGAACAGTTTAACTTCTTCATAATGTAATTTACCAACTGAGATGAACTTTCATGCTAATCGTGTTTAAAGTTACATTTGTAAGTGTTTAAAGTAAGTCCAAGACAATAAAGGACACTGAACAAGACTATTTCCTGAGGGAGGTGGAAGAGGCTATTTACACCAAGGCCCTTCACTCAAAAGGGGGCAGACATTGTCTACCAGATACCTTTGACCCAGTGTTGATGTCACAGTTCAAAGAAGCCACATGACAAGCCTAACTGGGTCAGTCTACTGAGGAAGACCAGAGTGACTGGTCGAAAGCTCTAGGCGAGAGATCTTTATTGTGTTGGATTTAAGGTTTTAATTTTAAATACATGTAGAAGCTAGTGTGTTCAGCCGAGGGGCCATTATACCAGCTATATTATACAGAAGCTGGTTTGTTACACTGAAGGGAAGTTATACCGGCTGTACAGATACAGAAGCTGGTTTGTTACACTGAAGGGAAGTTATACCGGCTGTACAGATACAGATACATAAGCTGGTTTGTCACACTGAAGGGAAGTTATACCGGCTGTACAGAAGCTGGTTTGTTACACTGAAGGGAAGTTATACCGGCTGTACAGATACAGAAGCTGGTTTGTTACACTGAAGGGCGGTTATACTGGCTATACATATACATAAGCTGGTGCATCGTGTCAAAGAGTATCACTATCAGCTATACAGATGTCAGAGATGTCTCACCTCCATTCCTTGATTTTCGTGCTTTTGACCTTTGTACGGCTAGGACTTTGAGTATAGGACTACGACTCTGTTTTGACGCATCAGACTTTTATGTTTACTGTATGTTGTCCACTCTTGTCTTACTGTATGTAACAATGTCTTGTGTAATTTTGCTGGGCCCCCTTGGAAAACCCTGGCCTGGGTTAAGGGACCAAGGTACAAGGTACTTGGAAAACAGCCAATGTAAGCTGAATGGGGCTACCCAGCCGTCTTGTGATGAAATAAATAAATAAGAATGCTTCAGTACCTGGCAGGGGTCCCTCTCCCCCTCCTCCACAGTCACGCGCACTTTGCAGCTGGAGATGAACGCCAGGGCATCATCCAGAAGGGTCTGCAGCGCCTATATGGGGAAGAAAATGTTGGATTTGGCTGCAGAAGGCAACAAATTACAAAAATTACTTGCTGCAGCCTAAAAATAACATAACTACCTGACTGAGGCCGGTCTCGTTCTGTGCAGACCCAGACTCGATGACGACTTCGTTGGGCTGCGTCGTGTACCGGTCCACTCCCACCAGATCTGTGGCCGTCTCCGCTGTGCTCCTGGTGGGGACAAGGAGGAAACAAGGATATGGCATTGAACAGGGCAGACAGTACTATTAGATCTTGCCATAGGAACACATGCTTACATACACTATTTCAACACCTCAAGAAAGTACTTGCCCATACTTCAATCTCAAAAAATTTTCTGCACCAGGTAGCAACAAGGGTCTGATTAAAAAAAATAGAAAGGAAACAGGGGGTTGACCAGCTCAAATTCCCGCCACAGCTGATGATAGTAACAAAACCTCAACTATGACCTACATTTTCCATGGTATCCATCCGCCTGGCCAGACAAGACCTAACCACTCACATCTCTCACTACGCCCACTAAACTGGTGAAATAAACAAAACTTGACCAAAGTAGGAAAGTTTAGACCCTACCTGTGCCTTCCAGCCCAAAAATCTCCAAAATGGACCAAAACTTTCAAGAGAAAAAAAGGTTTTCAAATGTATTAACTAGGCACTAAAAACCATTTTTTGGCCTCTACTGCGCAATGCAAATGTGGTGTCTGCCCTGAAAGACCCTAGACCCTGGACTCTGTCAGCACTAGAACTGTTCGCTTCTACAATAGCAGCATTCCCCACATTGTCAGATTGCTAAACTCCTCGCTCCACTAGAATGTATTACGTGCAATATTGAAATTGATATTGACTTTTAATCGACCCAAATTTTATGCAATTTCCAATTTTAAACAAGATCTAATACTATGTTATTTTACATCATCAATACTGTTATTTTAATGCGTTATTTTAGTCTGTATTTTAATGTGTATTTGTGTAAGTTGTAATTCTGAACGTCTACTACGTGTATATCATTGTAATGTCCTTACATCAATTCAGCCAAATTTGCTCAGGAGACAGACAGTTGCCAACACGATGAACACATAATGCTAAATGTAGTCTTCGATCCTTTTTTTTTAAAACCGAATTTAACGTCATTTTTCCCCATTTTCCCCATTCCCCCTTTTTAGACATGCTTGCACCAAGTACAAGTTTTTTTTTTAAGCAAGATTTTTACGGCTGGATGCAATTCCTAACACCAACCCAAACCCTAGTAGGGCCCAGGAACCCTCTAACTGAGGGGGGAAATGCGTGTTAAGTGCCTTTTCCATGGGCACAACGTCTGGGTGCATGTCCGGACATGTCTGGGTCCAACCCTGGGGATTGAACCTGGGTCTCCTTGCTTGACAGTCGGACGCTCTATCCACTACACCACACAGATGCCACACTTTACTCATCTTCATACGTGTGCACTAAAACAAGTGATAGGCAACGTAAAATCCTCACAGGTCATATCTAAAGAATACCTTAAAGACACCACCAACACAGACGGAAGTATCTTAAAGTTCAAAGCTAGAGCCGGAGTACACGTACTAGAGCTAGAAGGGAGGCAACTATGCTGGAAAAGCTACAAAGGACCTGGTAAAGGCACTTTACACAAGGCAACTCTCCTCACTTCACTCAGGTGTAAATGAGTACCTAGCTTTGGTTAGGGACGTCCCTCGGATTTGACGTTAAAAGGAGGTCCCATGTTTGGGGAGAGTCACACCCCACGCACATTAAAGAACCCACCACAACTTTCGAAAAAGAGTAGGGGCATGCCCCGGTGTGCGATGGTACAAAGGTGTGTAATGGTACAAAAACTATGGACGTTCACTATGGAGTCCAGGTAGAATAGTGTGAAATTCACACTAATGGAGATCCTAAACAAACAAAAGAACAAACCTTAGTGTGACCTCCAGGCTCCTGACCCGCTGCAACAGACTGTCGGGCGCACACTTTCCCTGGAGGATGGAGGCCGTCAACCCAAGAACCCTTGGATAGTCCTGTACCTGTAACATTACATGTACATGTAGTAATGGTTTATCATCATATTCAGCTTCTTTAAGCCCCAGGACCCTTGGATAGTCCTGTACCTGTACCATTACATGTAGTTTGGGTAGACTGTCGGGCGCACACTTCCCCTGCAGGATAGAGGCCGTCAGCCCCAGGACCCTTGGATAGTCCTGTACCTGTAACATTACATGTAGTTTGGGCATGTACATGTAGTAATGGTTTATCATCATATCCAGCTTCTGTAAGCCCCAGGACCCTTGGATAGCCCTGCACCTGTACCATTACATGTAGTTTGGGCAGACTGTTGGGCGCACACTTTCCCTGGAGGATGGAGGCTGTCAGCCCCAGCACACGCGGGTAGTCATGTACCTGTAACATTACTTGTTGTACATGTAGTAATGGTTCATCATCATATCCAGCTTCTGTAAGCCCCAGGACACGGGGATAGTCCTGTACCTGTACCATTACATGTAGTTTGGGCAGACTGTCGGGCGCACACTTCCCCTGGAGGATGGAGGCCGTCAGCCCCAGCACACGTGGGTAGTCATGTACCTGTAACATTACATGTAGTAATGGTATATCACTGTGTTATATCTGGCCTGGTAGTGGCTGTAGCAGACTGTCGGGCGCACACTTCCCCTGCAGGATGGAGGCCGTCAACCCCAGGACCCTTGGATAGTCCTGTACCTGTAACATTACATGTAGTAATGGTATATCACTATGTTATATCTAGCCTGGTAGTGGTATCCAGTCTATCGTAGCTGCAGCAGACTGTTGGGCGCACACTTCCCCTGCAGGATGGAGGCTGTTAGACCCAGCACACGTGGGTAGTCCTGCACCAGTAACATTACATGTAGTAAGGGTTTATTATGGACCCTGGGGTAGTCATGCACCTGTACATGTACATGTAGTAACACAGTTCATCATTATGTTATATCCAGCTTGTTAATCTGGAAGAATAGATCAATACTGCAAAGCAAATGTATAATGTTTACCTTCACATGGTCAAGCCTTACAAAGTACTGCTCTGTTTATTCTTAAACACAACACGTTTGTGTATATGGTAACCCTTCCCTTGCTACAACGTGTAACCCAACACCATAGGGTGTCTGCTACAACACTAGTTACCATGGTGACAGCCGTCTGGTCCAGGTCATTGACCTTATGCGTAGTTCTGTACCTGCACATGTAGCAATGGTTTATTACTGACACGCAACATTTACATGAACCCTGGGGTAGTGAGTGTGAGTGAGTGTGAGTGTGTGGTAAACATAAAAATAGCCTAGCAGAAATCTAGCTTGGCAGGATACCTGGCAAGTGTCGAAGGCCTTCATGATCTCCCTGTAGGGGTGATGTCCGACTGCGTGATGACACTCGTCGATGACCAGCAGATTCACGCGGGAGAGCGGGAGGATTCCGTGCTGAAGGACGTCCAGGAAGATCTGCGCCGTCATCACGAGCACGTGGTGCGCGTCGAACTCCCGCCGCCAGCGCTCGCGCGACCACAGGTCCACCCCCATGGCGCCCACGTACTCCCCGATGCTGAGGTTGGTGTGAGTGGTGATGACTGCGGCTTGTTGGGACACCAGGGGGACTGCAGCGGGAAACAGATAACAGAAGAACTTTATTTCAGGGCAGACTTAAAGGAGTGGACCGGTCAAACAAGACTGTCAGCAGTGGAAAACAGTCATGCTGCCCCACCAGCTGACTAAGGTATGGGAGAGAGTGAGTGTAGCAGGTACAATCTGTGTCGTCAACATGTACAGGTGGCAAAGGGGCCTTGTGCTAGCTGAAGGTTATTTCAAGAACAATAAAGAACCAGCCACATCTATAAAAAAAAAGATCAGGGATTTGTCCCAGTGTGAGTGGTTCAAAACTTAACAGTCTGATCCTGGGTTGACATCTTGAAAAAGTTATATCAATCCATTCACAAAGGTGGTGGATCTCAATAAATAAACATGAATATGTATGAGGCTTGAAAATAATTTTGATATTTGTGGGTTTCGAAGATAATGCTTGAAGATAAAAATATGCTAGACATAACAGGTGCATACATATAGCTCTATATTGTATATATCAACATTGATGTTTCAAATCCAGCAACAAATTGACATGGAACAAATACACCCAAAACACATGGGAATTATGAAAAATCACAGTGCTCCAAACATTGGACAGCAACAGAAGATACTACCCGGTAAAATGATGTCAAATAAGCCCATTACTGTTCCTTATTGCCGTCCAATTTCCACCAGAATGGGGCTCTTACATCAACGCTTAGCCAATTTGACTGGGATTACGGTGAAATGCCAAATCATTTCCCACATGCGTCAATGAAGGTTAGACATCCAGATAATACGGTACGCCAGAAAGCAGTTACTCAAGCAACTGGATATGATTTTGAAAACGTCAGACGTTTCAGCTAGTATCCACTAGGTTTCGTCAGTGACTGAGGGACCAGAGGGGAAATGCAGGTTTATAAGCACAACTATTGATTGATATGCAAATAAAGTGAAGACAAATTTTTTTTTGAAGAGGCCTAGGATACTAGCTGAAATGTCTGACGTTTTCAAAATCATAATATTGTCCAGTTACTTGAGTAACTGCTTTTTGGCATTTCCCACATGGTCCATGCTGATTGTGATATTTTTCTAACCAGTCATCACGGGCTCAAAATACCAGGTGCGGATGCAGGTAAGTGCAGGTAAAACTGGAGCTGTGCAGGTATTTCTGATTTCTGAAGGAGGCTATTTACATCAGGGCCCACCACCTTTTACTTAACCGCGACGGGGGCCGACATCGTCTACCAGATACCTTTGACCCAGTGATGAGGTCACACTTCAAAGAAGCCATCACGTGACAAGCCTCAAAGGGTCAGTCTACTGAGGAAGACCAGAGTGACTGGTCGAAAGCTCTCTAGGTGAGAGAACTTGTTGTGTTGGATCAAAAGTTTTAACAGGTATTTCTGATGTCTACCTTCACCTGTACTGGTCCATGTACTGGGTTTATATACAAATGTAGACATACATGTATGTGGATTTTTACTCGCTGCATTTAGTGTTACCACCTATGAGGTATGAGAGAAATAATGACAGTGGTTTCTGAACAAATTTTAGAGTTTGATTCTTACTTCCTAAGTTCTCCATGGTGCAGGTAAAATTTGTCTGGTGCAGCTCAATACCAATGTTAATACCAATGTTAATACCAATGTGGGGTCGTGTGGCGTAGCGGCAGAGTGCGTGACTCGGAACCTAGAGGTCCCCGGTTTGAGTCCTGACATGCCACCGATCTTGTGCCCTTGGGAAAGGCATTTTACACGACTTTCCTCACTTCGCTCAGGTGAAATTGAGTATTGTCCTGTCATGTATGTGTTGGTGGCGTCATTAATATAAGTTGATAAAACTTGAGTGTGCCGTCACCACGTCTGGTGATTACATGTTGGAATAAAAAAAAAAAAACAATGTACACAAAAAAAGGATTTCCAGCCTTGTGATGTATTTCTAAGCAGCCATCATATGCTGGCATATTTTCCCAATTGCCCCTTTGCATCTACAAGACACACTGTCTTCAGTGCAGTCATCTTCCACTTCATAATTGAGTCAATTTTTCAGGCTTATAAACAGCATCCTGCCAACTGCTCACAGAAGCAGGTACTATCTATGGCGGCTCATGCTTGACTGAATCAAATAACTTTCAAATTGTTGTTTCCCTGCAAGCAGAAAAATACATTTTTTCTCCATATACATGTACATACCGGTGCAAAAACATTTGGGTAGAGTGCTCACTTTGTAATAAAATAACAATACAAGATGAAATGAAATACAATAATTGTAACCGGGAGGTTGTATATGTAGGTTATCTAATACCAGTTAACACTGCCTTGATAACCTGTGTCTTGACCTGTTGTCATTGCCAAAAAAGAAAGAAAGAGGATCATGAGTTAACAAGAGTTCCGAGATCTCATACCTCCATGAAATATGGGCTTGCTTTGTCCTCATTAATTATGCAAATAACCTCTACATTAACATAATATGTGCATAGCGACGCAAACCTTTAAGTAACTTACACATGTTACGAGGTATAAAATTCCCATCATTCACCAATAAGGATTCACAGAATTTTCACATTAATTATGCAAATTAGGTCATCATTTGCATAATTGGTATCTGTTCATGTTCCACCTGCCACAGATTGAATATATTACATGTATAGCAGTACAATTATATGAAACACTGTAATTATAGAATTTCCTCATTAATTATGCAAATTAAGTCCTCATTTGCATAATTTGCATTTAATCATGTACATCTCTCTCTCAGCTACCTACACACCAAAAATGATGAAAATATGTTGTTCCAATCTGGACTTATTGGCTTTGAAAGTTTTTACCAGAAACTAACCTGCAGTTCCAGAACAAGCTGCTAGGGGGATCAAACTTACGCCACTTATTCCTGACAAGATTAGCTATCTGTCACCAAAAAGTCAAGACCATAGCTTGTTCAGGACAAAAGATACAAAAACCGGAAGTTCTGCTGCAGTACCAAGGTCATCCACCAGGAGGCCCATACTTGACCTTGACCTCTGTCTTTCCAAGACTTACCATCATACCAAATATCATCGCAATCCATAAAGGCGTTCTGAAGTTATGCTGACTACAAAGTTGCGGAAACACAGACAGACAGACACACAGACACACAGACAGACAGACAGACAGACAGACATACAGACAGACACGCCAAAAACAATACCTCCATTTTTCATGGAGGTAAAAAATGACTTCAAAAATGGTACATACTGCTTTCTCTGGTCAGCACTTAGCATCTATGAGAATTGGTATTGGAAGATCGAACACACAACACTACCAGTGGACTAAGCCCCCTGATGTTGTGCTTGCACAACTGTGTGGCCCAAGGGCTACCCCTATGCTCTACACAGAGTGGAACGGGACCTTTCATATCTAACTCTCTCTCTGACTATCAGGTTTATCGTCTGTTGTTCCCCGTCTTCCGAGGGTTAGATGTGCTTGCACAGTACAACTGGGGCTTGATGGCTGCACGCCACTTATGTCTCTATCCTGTTGGTTGATCTTGTTCAAGTTAAAGTGGTGGAGGTCCTCCCGTATGTTGTCGAATCATTTCCTCTTAGGACGACCACGGGGGTTTGGACCCTCCACATCTAATGTGAGGATCCTCTTTGGCTATTTGTCATTGGCCTGTCCATTCTCTGGAGGTGGCCGTACCATCTCAGTCTGTTGTATCTTACTGTGTCCTGGATGTCATATACATGTACAAACAGAAAGTCGTGCAGTATACATTGTACATGCATCAAGTAGACAGTCCACCACTACTCCTTCCGTCCACAAACATGTCTGCCTGGAGTTGTGGGGTAATGGACCTATCACATTATTACGTCACAGTTTGTTTACCGCAATGAATGCCGGTCAATCGACGTTTATATCGTACAGGGGTGCCTAGCGCGGTGTGTGTTTGTGTAGGGTTAGCCTTAATATAAGGCTTTTAATACAGTACTACTTTCGTATAATGCCACAACTAAACCACCCATTACGGCATGTAATGCTGTGTGAACAAAACTAGACGCAGCAAAAATTAAACATGCCTGACTTTGAAAACTTTGAAATGATCTTTATTCTTTAACTGACCATTCTAGAAAGTTCTTTAGAACAGGTAAACAAACCGTGACGTAATAATGTGATAGGTCCATTGCCTAACGAATGGTTCTGTCTTCACAGCCTCCACCCTGACTTATGGGCCCATTATCTCCAATGGCCGGCGGGACAGTTGACTGAGTCGTCCTGTCAGAGGCAGTCAGGGTCAAGATGGCGATAACGAAGAGTGTGACATATCACCTCCGGGGCTCCAAATACGTTTTCTGCATTGGTGCAAATTTTACCTGCATTTACCTAACTTTAGAAAGTATGGATTATGCTAAAACAGTTTAGATAGGCACTAACATCATTTCTTTTATACTTGGTGGTGGCAGTCAACACAGCTATTGAAAATAAACCTAGTACTGTGCAAGTAGACAGCAGAAATACCTGCACAGCTTCAATTTTTCAGGTTATACCTGCACAGCCCCAATTTCACCTGGACTAACCTGCATAAGCAGGTGGGAATTTGAGTCCTGTGTAGTGTATGAATGTTGACTGTCTTACTCACCGTTGTTGACTAGGAAGATTGTCCTCTTCTCCCCCTCCCCTCCCATATACCCAGTACATGGACCAGTGCAGGTTAGGTGCAGGGAGACATCAGAAATACCTGCACAGCTCCAATTTTACCTGCACTAACCTGCATATACCCAGTACATGGACCAGTGCAGGTTATACCTGCACAGCCCCAATTTCACCTGGACTAACCTGCATAAGCAGGTGGGAATTCGAGCCCTGTGTAGTGTATGAATGTGGACTGTCTAACTCACCGTTGTTGACTAGGAAGATTGTCCTCTTCCCCCCATCGTTAAGGGCCGCTCTAGTCTGGCTGCTGAGCTCTTTGATCAGCATCACGGCCACGAACGTCTTCCCCGAGCCGGTCCCCAGACACACGATAGTGTTCTTCTCCAGGGCTGCGTCTAGTAGCTCCATCTGGGAACACAGATCAGGAGACACAACAGATACAATCAGTTTAGAGTTCAGTTCAGTTTACTACGATACCCTTTAGCCCGTTAGGGCTAATCTTCCAGGGCTCATTCCACATCACACACACAGTACAAATATACACATGACTAAAAATTTACATACACGTTGAGGTCATACGTCAGACAAGGTACTAATTATAGCTAAAATCATTGAACCAGCAAATTATCAGCTAAGTATTAACACTTAAGATCCAACACAATAAAGTTCTCTTACCTAGAGCTTTCGACCAGTAACTCTGGTCTTCCTCAGTAGACTGACCCAGTGAAGCATCTCACATGGCCTCTTTTTTTTATATATTTTTTAAACGAAGCGGGCGAATCCGTTAACCAAGAAATTAAATTGGTGTGGCCGTACAGCATTAAAAAAAGGCAGTACCTGGTAGAGCCTTGGTGTGAAGATGGAGAGGTGCTGGGGGTCCCTCTGCAGGTGGGACGTCTGCCGCTGGGGGGTGTGCTGGGAGGGGGGAGGAGCCACCGGGGCAGGGGGGGGTCTCGTCCCTCCCCCTCCCCCTTCTTCTGTCAGACTATCTGACATGGCTCACAGGATTACCTTGTCTAGTCTGCAAGGGAAAGAAAAATGTGTCTACATGTGGGCATCCAAATAAGACACCAGATCACTATTTATTGCACTGCAAATTTTATAATACTGAAACAGTGAAAGGACCAAAATGTTGTTATCCATATCTTGCCTTCATCTTGAAAACATACTTCCTTCCGACCCACTCAACGCAAATTAAACAAGGAAAATCGTAGATTTTGTACCTCCGGGTATTGAAATGTGTGTTGCAGAATGTTGGGTGCATGTTGGGACTGTTCTTTAAATTAGTGAATTCGCGCGAATACCATTTTTTCGAAAAGTTTCGAAATGTTTGTAATTGGCTAAATGATCTGTGAAATCACTAATCCCCCTAGCCGACTGGAGCCCAAAAATAGAAAGGACAGGGGGCATCCCGTGGCGAATCTGGCTGCCCGACCCTCAGCGACCAGCGATAATGTAAACAAACACCCGCTCCGGGCGCCAGCCGCCAATCGTCCGGTGCGCGTGTTACCCTTCTAACATGTAAGTAAGGCCATGTTGATTTGATTATATGGATGACATCCTCTGGGAACCCCAAAACTGATGCGCGCGTGCGAATAGTAAAATCTGAGCTTTTTATTGTATACTTTTATATGTTGTTTGTTATATACATGTAGTTGATGGTGTTGAATTTTATGTGTTAGATTTAGCCTTC